CTGACCAAAGCAGAATAGAGTGGCACTATTACTTCCATTGATCTAGATGCTTTACTTCTATTGATGCAGCCTAGAATCATATTGGCCTTTTTAGCTGCTGCATCACACTGTTGACTCATCTTCAAGCTGTGATCTACTAGGATTCCTAGATCCCTTTCATGTGTAGTCTTTTTAAGCCAGGTGCTCCCCCATCCTATATCTATGCATTTCATTTTTTGCCTGATTCTTTTCTTCGGATGCCTAAACTGCATTTCTAAATGCTCAATTGTAGTTTTAAGTTACTGCAATGCATGAAATTTGCAAATTTGCACTGCAGATTTTGTGGGTCAGAGGGGCAGAATTCTTATTTGGGATGCAACAGCCTCATCCGTCGTGCAATCTCTAAGCAAGATTGATGCCTGCAGATACTGTGGAGTTTCTGTTCCATCCCCAGTGCTGAAACCAGTTTCAGTCCAGCCTGTTTTTGTACATAGAACTGAGCTGGGAAGACATCATCTTGTCTTCCACCTCAGGCAGCAAAATATCCTGGGTCAGTGCTGGCTCTGATAATCATATCCTTGTCCAATGTTTCCCTTCCTTGCTGATCATTGTTGAAATAATGTTCATTTTACTCCGGCTGTGTCTGCGCATTCCCTTCGTTGACCTTTCCAGGGGCTTTCAAAGTTGGGAATTTTGTGCCTGCAGGACACCAGATGGAGGAATAAAGAAAAAGAGAGAGAGAAGGGGAGAAAGATGGGAAAGGGCCCAATGATGAATGATTAGGGATTTAAATAGCTCTCGCCCTGGCTGCAACTGAATATGAAGCTCCTGGAATGATATAGCAGATGTTTAAAACAGATTGAAATGTCACACTAGGCATGGAGGGTGGAACACAGTGTTATCAGATCCTTCCCTCCTTTCTCATCAGCCTGTTCCTTTTGCCCGACTCGCTCCGAATGATGACTGAGCGAATGTCCAAAGTTGAGAAGAACAAAACCCGCAGGGCCAGCTCAGGCCACGGAAAGATGCAAGGCGGCCAGCATTAAAAGCCGGAGCAACAAAAGAGTCCTCCTGCGGAAACTCAAAAGACTTCAGCTGACATCTTGATCCATAGTGACAAGATGGAAAGCTGGAGTTCTTGTTGTTGTTGTGTGCCTTCAAGCCGTTTCCACCCTAAGGTGAATCTGTCACAGGGTTTTCTTGGCATGATTTGCTCAGAGGGGGGTTTTCCATTGAGGCTGAGAGAGTGTGACTTCCCTAAGGCCACCCAGTGGGTTTCCACGGCTGAGCACTGGATTTACCATCTCATTTCATTCATGCTTAGGGTTGTTAACAACCAAAAGTGACCTTCACATCCTGGCAATACCCCAGTTAGAGAGTTTCTGGGACACTGCAGATTGTTGCCGCGTGCCTTCGAATCATTTGCAACTTATGGCAACCCTAAGGCAAACCTATCCCAGGGTTTTCCTGGCAAGATTTGCTCAGATGGGCTTTG